GGAAAGCCACCAAGAACTTTGTGTTATCTCCTTGTGTTGTGACCCGGAAAAAAAGATGTGCAAAGTTTTGGGATATTATATTACTCGGGAAAATGCCCAGAGGGGATGGAATTGCACTCATAGCCCATGTTTGTAGCGCTAGCGGGCATTCAAAGAGTACATGGTTGATCGACTCTATCTCTGCCCCACAGCGTTGGCATCGGCTATCTGTCCCACAATGGCGATATGTTAGTTGGATGTTGGTTGCCATACTATCCGAAAGAGCTTGCCACAAGAAGTGTTTTATCTTCCGAGGGGTCTTTAGAGCCCATACTTTACTCTTTAGGGGGGTAAAGCTTGGTTCTGTGACTGGTGCCAAACCTTCTTCGTCTCTCATTTGAATTGCCAGCTCGTAGCCAGTTTTAACGGAGTACATACCAGATTTTGTGTAAGCCCACACAAATCTATCTGGTTTGTATGACCGACTTGGCCGCATGCTCTTTATACGCGGAATATCTTCCGGATCAACCAATTGATTAATGAGGTCCATCCGCCATCCGGATGTAGCTGGGTCAATTAGGTGATGGACATACAATTCCAGATCTCTTTCAGCTCCTATGTCCAAAGCGGGTCTTGGTGGGCAGACTGGTATCCAGTTGTCTAGCCACACTCTTGTGCTTATCCCAGAAATTATCGCTTTTCTCAAGCCTTTTTGCAAGAGCTCTCTTGCTGCCATAATGCTCCGCCATCCATATGATGGGTTATTTACCTTTCTAATCTCAAGAAGTGTCGAATACCGATAATATCTCGCTCTTAAAACTTTCGCAAGCAGGAACGACGGGTAATGTACCAATCTCCAGAGCTGTTTTGCCAGAAGGGAAAGGTTAAAACTTGTATGGTCTCTGAAGCCCAAACCGCCTTTATCTTGGCTAACGCAGATTTTATCCCAGGCGATCCAGTGCATCCCTCAATTGTCTTGTTTCGTGCTCCACCAGAATCTGGATATGGTGCCACTTAGTTTTTTAAGTATAGCTTGTGGGAGGAGAAAACATGACATGATATAAGTAGGTAGAGCTTGTGCTACCGACTTAATCAGAACTTCCTTCCCCCCTTTGAGAGAAGTTTAGCTGACCACGCATTAATCCGAGTGCTTAATCTGTCCTGAATAAAAGAAAAAACTTGTTTTTTAGAGCCACAGATCTTCTCGGGTAACCCCAAGTACATACCCATACCACCTTCTTTGGTTATGCCTAGAGCTTGTTTTAGGTCTGCTTTTTTCTCTGGTGGGATCTTACTACAAAAAAAGATAGAAGATTTTGCACAGTTTAGTCGCTGTCCTGAAGCTTTCCCATAGCAGTCGATTATCTTTACCAATTCCTTACATTCTGTCTTGTCTGCTTTACAGAAGAACACATTATCATCTGCAAAAAGCAGGTGGGAGATTGGGGGGCAAGTCTGGGCAACTTTAATCCCGGTAATCCTTCCTTCTGCTTCCGCTCCTTTGACTTGGGATATTAGCGCCTTTGTAAGGATGATGAACAGAAAGGGAGATAATGGGTCTCCCTAGCGTAGTCCTCGAGAGGGTCTAATGTTGCCTTTCGCCTCTCCGTTCAGGAGTACTTGATATGACACAGATGAGATACACCATTTGATCTATAAGACCCATTTTTCTGCAAATCCCATCTTCCGCATTAGTGCTTCGAGGAAACCCCACTCAACCCGATCATAAGCTTTACTCATGTCGGTTTTGATGGCTACAAATTTTGACTTGCAAATTGAGTTTGTACGCAGTGCATGGAAAACTTCCTGTGCCACTAGGATATTATCTGTGATAAGGCGTCTAGCTACAAAAGCTGATTGAGTCTCCGAAATCAGTTTCGGGAGGAATCTTTTAAGCCTCTTGCTTAGGATCTTCGAGATAATCTTGTAACTGACATTGCATAAGCTTATAGGTCTGAATTCTGGCATTCTACTGGTCTTGCAGTCTTCGGTCTTGCAGTCTTCGGAATTAAACAGATATTTGTCTGATTCAGTCGTGGATCAAACATATCCGTAGCAAAGAAATCTCTGACTACTTAGATGATATCCTTTGAAGTCACTTCCCAGAACTTCTGATAGAACAGGCTGGTCATCCCATCTGGTCCTGGAGCTTTCTCTGGATGAATCTCAAAGATTGCTTTCTTAATTTCTTCATCAGATGGGTAACTCGTAAGTGCATTATTTATAGCTGGAGTTACTTGCACGGTAATATACCGGAGTGCTTCCTCAAAATCTTGAGGCTGGGATGTTGTGAACAGATCTTGGAAATACTCAGCGGCAACTTTTTCCATTCCCTGCTCAGTCTCTACCCAGCCCCCAGAGGCATTTTTAAGTTTGATGATCTTGTTTCTAGCTCTTCTTTGCTTAGTCGTGGCATGAAAAAACTTAGTGTTCCTATCACCTTCCTTAAGCCAATTAGCTCGACTTTTCTATTTCCAGTAAAGTTCTTCTTCTCGGAAGGCTGCACACAGATTCCACTTCAGAGTCAAGAGTTCGTCATTTGAGATAGAATCATCTTGTTGAGCGATGTCCAACATCTCTTTGATTTCCTCGATCTTCTTTATCGCATTTGATGGGTTAAGGCGTCTCCAAGTCGATAATGCTTTCCGACACTTCTCAATGTTGGCATACAGATCCGGGGTTCTAGAGACATCATAGGTTCCCCAACCCTCGATGATTGTCTCTAATAAGCCCTCCTTTCCGAGCCATCTCTTATCGAATTTAAAATTCCTCTTGACCCTGCCCTTTCTTGATTGTATACGAGCCAGAACTGGCCGATGATCTGAACCCCATAATTTCAGGTACTCCACAGACGTGTGGGGAAACTTATGATGCCAGTCTTCATTGCCTATAGCTCTGTCCAGTTTACACCGGACTCTACCACTCCTTCTGTTTCCAACCCATGAGAAGGAGTTACCTTTTGTTGAGAATTCCACCATACCACAGTCTTCAAGCATTGTATTAAAAGAATAGAAGGATGCATCCGGGCGCTTCCTCCCTCCTCTTTTCTCATGATGGCCGGTAATCTCATTGAAGTCCCCAATCATAAACCAGGGACCCGTTCTCGTAGTACTGATCCGTGTAATTCTTTCCCAAACTAGTTCGCGGTACTCAATGACCGGATCTCCATAGACAAATGTCATAAATACTTTGTGTCCTTCTATCACTGCTTTAATATATATCAGACGATTGTTTGAGAACAGAATCTTAACATCAAAAGAATCTATATAGAAAAGTGTGAGTCCGCCGCTTGTACTTTCTGGTTCTACCGTGAATAATTTATTGTACCCAAAAGAGACTTGAAAGTCTTGCATAAAGGAAGAAGGCTTTTTCGTTTTAGAAAGAAACAGGAAGGAAGGAGAAAAACATCGGTGCAGCTCTCGAAGGTGTTGTTTAGTCAAAAAGGCTCCTGCACCTTGACAATTCCATGAAATTATATTCATGGATTCTTAATGGGTAGATTCTGAAGCTGAAGCCATCTCGCTTATCATGATCTGAAAGGAATCGTTTTCCATAACCAAATGTCTTAGATCTCCTCTAGACAAATCCCCTTATGCATGCAGTGGCAGCAACCTTGCACATAGCTCTGAATTTTACACTCGTTACTTTGGTAATTACTACCCAAACCGTAAAGCAAGCGGGGCACACCTCAACTTCACCCAAAAAAACGTAGCACAAGGCTAGATTGACAACCCTCAAATATCAAGATGACTTAAGAGAAGCTAGATAATTGGTATAGTTACGAGGTATTTAGAGGGAGCCTTATCTTTTATTTGCAATAGTACGATATGAGATGTGAGCTCCACCATTGTGTATGTGTGGTAAATAAAGATCATAGCAACCAGCTAGAAAAGAGATACTGTTCTTCTCCTTAAAATGTTGCGCACGGCAAATCACAAACGCAAGAGGAGCTGTAACATAAACGATAGAGATCTGATTGAGTAAGATCACCACCCGATTTGCTGATACACCCTCTTAGAGGGGAAAAATCATTCACGATTCTGGCAAGACTCCAAACGGACAGCAATAATGTATCTCCTCACAAAGTTCCTAGAGCCTCTGTTGTTGATGAATAAATTGATTTTAAAAGAGAATCAGAGAACACAACCCTATTATAGGGGAATCGGAAAATTTGCGTGTAAAGGATGTGTCGGATCTGATCTACAAAGTCCAGGAATATACACGCAAAAAACCCCCAAAGCCCAACACAAAACGTAGCACCAGAGCTAGAAACCAACCAAGTTTGAAGCCAGTACCTCTAAGCTATGTCAATTCCAAGGACAAGTGGTTACGAGCCTTACCTTCTACGGGCCTGACTGCAACCTTCAGAACATCTGATACGTGACACGGTGTAATCAAGAAGGCTATTTCTGTTGCACTCATAAAACCGATCAAAACGTTGTATGACACTAGTAAAAAACCTGGCTATAGCCACTGTCTCTTTCGTGACTAACGCAAAAATACTGTGGCTATATGGTCTTATAACCACGAAAAGTCACGGGGAAAAACCGTAGCTATACGATCGTGACTAATTTATTTCGTGGCTTTTCGTGGCCACATAGCCACGAATTAGTCACTGGTGTATTTCGTGGCTATGTTAGTCACGAATTAGTCACGCATTTATTCGTGTCTATATAGCCACGAATTAGTCACTGCTTTTCGTGGCAACCTTAGTCACGAATTAGTCACACACTTATCCGTGTCTATGTTAGTCACGAATTAGTCACGCGATTATTCGTGTCTATATAGCCACGAATTAGTCACTGCTTTTCGTGGCAACCTTAGTCACGAATTAGCCACACACTTAACTGTGTCTATGTAGCCACGACTTATTCGTGGCTATTGCGTGACTAGTTTAGCCACGAAATATTAGTGACTTAACCGTGGCTATGGATTTAAAAAAGGAAAAAAATATATATTTTCGAATTTTAATAATAAAAACATATTGCTAAACCATATCAAATCATGTTGCTAAACCATCATATAAAATACGAAAATGCAATAATCAATTAGAATATTATACATCAAAAAGTGTTTGAAACATAACATAAAAGTTTAAGAAACAGTTTAACATTCAAAAACATGAAAAATACTAGAAAAAAACTAATCTCCTAATAAAGAAGCACACATCTCATCTAGTGTAGGTTGTTGTTGACTTGGGTTTGTGGTGTTAGCAGGATTTGTAGAGGCAGCAGCAGCAGGGGGCGGAGAGGCATCAACAGCAGTAGTAGAAAGCGGAGTGGTACCAACCTTTTGTAGGAATGCATTTAGTACTGCCACCATTTCATTCTTGACTGTGGCCAACTCTTCCTTGAACTCACCCCTCATCGCCAGCACATCTTCCTTGAGCGTTTCAACATTGCTGTTGACAGCTTTTGAATTAGTCTCTAAACCGGATATACGCATGTCCATGTCGACGGTGTGTGTATGAGATTCATGGACTGTCTCGGTTGGAGTGAAATCCCGAAGCTGCACACTGCCTATTCCGTATACTCTCCCTCGCTTTGTCTTGCTGCGCTGTAAAAATAAACAAATATACAAAGTCAGAGACAAAACAGTCTAAAAACACATTCTTAAACACTACAAAATAGCAACTCGAGACGAATCACAACACAAACACATGGCTAACATGAAACGTCAAAACGAGTCACCAAACAAACAAGTCAAAACGAGTCACAACACAAACACAAAACCATTATAGCCAACAAGTCGATCCACAACACAAACCCAAATCCATTTCCCTAACAATCATCAAACAGCGAGTAAAGCCTAACTATCATCAAACAGCGAGTAAAGCAATAAGTGAGTTATTATAGAGTACCTTGAGAAATTCTTGGTTGAGGAGAATGCGAGTAGGAATTGCAGACGTTGCAGCTATTGAGGTGCTTTGGCTGTCAGAATGAGGAGATCCATCATCAGCTGTCATCTCTGCCATGGCCTCCTCTACTTCAAGAACAAGAGATTCCGATCGACCATCAACGAAAGTTCCATCTGACCGCGTGTGTGTCTTACGCACGAGATCGGTGTAAGGTGGCGGTTCATCAAGACCAGACTCCACCATCTGGAAAACATGTAAACATGTAGATAAATAAATAAGTAGAGAATATAACATATTAAAGATTAAAAAAGGGAGAGAAAGATATTCACTTACCATGTCATATTCGATCTTTAAAAAGTTTTGAGGACCTGCACAATGCTTGTGTACCCCTTTCTCACCTTGGGGTGTCATGCGAGATGAAGCCACTGACTTGCTCCTTTTACGGGCTGGTTCTGTTGAAAAAAACTCCAGCAGAGTGGTCCAGTCAGATTCGCTTATGAAATTAGGCTTCTGGTTCAGTCTCTTCTTCTTACTGATCTTTTAGCATATTATTGTCTGTGTGTGCAACTTCCAAAGACGGTACACCTCAGATTTAAAACGATTTTCCCAGTAGTAGTTTTGCTACAATGAAAACAATGAACATTAATATATGTATTACCTTAAAAGTAAACAACAAATAATTCTGAAAAATGCACAACATTTACCACAAAAGTCTGCCACCACTTATTTTTCCTCTCTTGAGGAACAAATTTCCAGCTACTCCATGGTCCCATGTAGTAGGCTTGCCATGTTGTTCGGATGAATTTGTGGACAGAGGGGTCTACACCGAACCTGAGATAAGAAGAACTACAATCAGAGAAGACAATACATTATAAGAAGAAATAATAGGACTCGGTTTTGTAGAGAACTTACCATAAAGCGCCATTGAGTTTCCTTGGATGGAGGTGTGGCTGAAGCTCTCTGGAGGGAGCATTCAATAATGCTTCTAGGGTCATACGGTTGTAGTTATTAGCACCTGAATATGCAGCGCTTCGTGGCAAGGCAGGACCACTTGTAGATCCAACAGCTCCTGATGGCGAGTGAGGACCTGAAGAGCTTCTAGACCCTAGAGCTCCTGGTGGTATGGCATGACCTGTCAAAACAACAAAAACATAACTTAACTCGTGTGAAGAACAATAACATACTCACTACGGTAAACACACACACACACACTAAAGATTATAGCTAAACACATATACACGCTCACACATAAGAACAATAATGTGAGAAAACACATAAGAACAATAATGTGAGCGAACATATAAGAACAAATCGTTCAAAAATTAGTGAAATTTTATGAAAATTATTGACAGTTTTATGAATATAGTCGAAAATTAGTGACAGTTTCGCGAAAATTATTCACAGCTAAACACAAACACAAACATGCAAGAGCCATTCCAAACCCAAATTCTAGTCGAAACTTCAAGCAAGAGAAACCCCAAATCAAAACTCAATTCGAACTCCAAACAAACGAAAATTAGCCACAGAAAAGAAACCCCAAATCAAAACCCTAAATCTAATCCAAACTTCAAGAAAAACGAGAAACCCTAATTTTTTATAGATCCAGAATACTTACCCGAGTCGTGGTTGTTGGCGGTGACTGGGTTACGGCGGTTTTGGCGAGGAGCCATTGAAAGAGATCGATGCAGAGAGATCGACAAAAAGAGAAGAGAGATCGACACAGAGAGAAGAGAGATCGTTAGGACACGATAAAGACGAAGAGCAAGATATTGTTTAGGATTTAGGAATCGAACAAGAGATAGAGACAAGTATCGAGAGGAAGAAGCTGGAGAAGAAAACAAAAAAGACAAAGGAATGAAGAAGGTTCGAGAGGAAGAAGACGAAAAAAACGAGATAGAGATTTTTGTTAAGTGTTGGGTCGAATATTTGGGGTAAAATTGTTTTGGTGGGATAAACTAAAATTTGGTGGGATCAACCAAAATTTGGTGGGATCAACCAAATTAATTGGAGGGAAACTAAAAAATTAATGGTTTAATCTGAATTGGTGGTTTAACCAAAAAATTAATGGTTTAATCTGAATTGGTGGTTTAAATAATTGTGTGCATGATTTAATCAAAAAATTAGAGAAGTTTAGTTTTATAAAAATTAGAGAAGTTTAGTTTTATAAAAATTAGAGAAACTAAATAATATAAAAATTTTGTTTAGTTTTTATAGTAATAAAAAACAAAATTTAGTTAAATTCTAAATTTATTACAAAAGTCAGTTAAATTTTTAGTTTATATCTTAATCTTATAATTTTAATAAATTTTTAATCTTAAACTTATAATTTTTAGTTTATATCTTATACTTATAATCTTAAACTTTATAAATTTAATTTTAAACCCTTTAGCGTTTAGGGTTTGTGTTATGGACTTAGGGTTTGAGTTTAGGGGTTTAGGGTATGATTCTATAAAAAAAAAAAAAAAAAAAAAAAAAAAAAAAAATTTAGCAAGTGTTAACAAAATTTTGAGGATAACATTTTCAATTGAAATTTTCAGTTTATGGTTTGATCTTAGGGTTTAAGGTTTGGTTTTAAAGTTTAAGATTTGATTTTAGGGTTTAGGGTTTGATTTTAGGGTTTAGGGTTTGATCTTAGGATTTAAGGTTTGTTCTTAATACACAATTCAGAAAATTTTAGTTTTATTATAATATTTAGAAAATAAAGTTTAATTATACATATGCTTAAAGATATGATAAAACTTAATTTTATTTCAGGGTTTAGGGTTTGATTTTATTTAGTTATGTTTTGTTTAAAACTGTAGTCTTAAAATTTAATACATTATTCAAAAAATATTAGTTTTATTATAATATTTAGAAAATAGAGTTTAATTATACATATGCTTCATAAAACTTAATCAGAATCAGTATCAGAATCAGAATCATTTGCCGAATCTTCTAATTCATCTTCCGATATGTATTCATCATTTGGAGGACATACAGGTTGCATATCATAATCAGAAGCATCTTCCACAATATGCGATTCAATTCGTATCATTGCACTTGCTGCTACAACTTGGTTGTGTGTATCATCTTGTACCGCTTGTAGAGCTACTTCAGAAGTTTCACGAAACTCTCGTGGCATAACTTTTGTACAGGCCCACCAATCAGATGAGGAACGACGAACGTGTGGATAAGGGATAAAACATACTTGATCACAATTACCAGATAATATAAAAGGATCATATTTCTCATATCGCGGAGACACATCGACGATACCTGAAGGATGTTTGCGAAATCCACGGCCTTCTGTAGTGTTGAACCACTTGCATTTGAAAATCATGGCTTTGAGCCCAACGGCACCATGGTATTTGATCATCATAATATCTTCAATGAGCCCGTAATAATCAGCATCAGTGGTTCCCTTAACATATACACCGTAATGTTGAGTTTTCTTATTTTGTCCATGGGCATGCGTGTGAAAGCGGTATCCTCGTGACAAGTATATAGGCCAAGATGTATAATTTTTTCTCGGACCTTGAGCAAAATCCAACATCCACATAGGAAATTCATATGATTCGGTAGCCTTGTTAATCTGCAAATAAAATTGTATTTAGATACTCATTTTTTGCTGATAATAATTAACAAAGATAATAACTTTATGAAACTCACATAATCTTTACACCATTCTGTAAATTGTTGGTCTTTCACTAATTGCAGTGCATTACTAGTAATTGTTGGGTTACGCTCTGTCATATACTCTTCAAACATCCTGAGTAAGTTATGAAATTATATAGTTACACAACTATAAAAATGATTATATCTTAATCAAATATATGTAAAGTAAATATAATACCTTTCATATGGTGCAAATGTGTCACAATTAAGCAACATAAACGTCTATAGCACGGTGTAGTCTTCATCTGTCAACCATCCAGTTGTGGATTTTCCACTAACTCGACCTTCATGATAGAACATGCTTGGCACATTTGGATAGTAATATGTAAATCGAATCTCTCCGGCTGCATTCGAAATCTCCTCATTCAAACAATGTTCAACGATCGAACCTGATATATGCGCCTTGTATTTAACCTTTTTCTTCAGATGATACATGTATCTCTCGAATGGATACATCCACCTATATTGGACCGGACCACCTAAAGCAGCTTCATCTGACAGGTGCACCGGAAGATGCTCCATGACATCAAAGAACGACGGTGGAAATATTTTCTCTAGATTACAAAGTTTTACCGCGATATTTGATTTCAAAAGAGCAACATCCTCGTCTCATAAAGTTCTTGATGAGATATCCCGAAAGAATAGTGCTATCTCTACAAATATATAATAATATTAAATAAATGGGAGAAGTTGTTACCTGAAATATCAAATGGGAGAAGCAGTTACCTGAAATTGCAGTGTGCACATTTCTTGGAAAGAGTTCTGAAAACGCAAATGAGAGAAGTCGTTGCATGATGACATGGCAGTCATGACTTTTCAGACCCGATATCTTCAAATTGTTTTCGTCAATGCAACGACTAAACTTTGAGGCGTAACCATCTGGAAATCTTATATCATTTTTCAGCCATGAAAGGAATTGTTTTTTACCTTCGTTCGAGAGCCGAAAAATTGGCACAGGCATTGTACCATCTTCGTTAAGATGCAGCTCACGTCTTTTACACAAACCAGGGAGATCTAACCTCGACTTGATGTTGTCTTTTGTCTTCCCGGAAATATTTAACACAGTGTTGATGAGATTATCAAAGAAATTTTTCTCCACGTGCATGAAGTCGAGCTTGTGTCGAAGAAGAAGATTTTCCCAGTACGGTAACTCCCAGAAAATACTCCTTTTCACTCAATTATGATCCTTCCCATAGCCATATATAGTTCGAGCGGGCTTCTCGTGTCCGTTTCCTCCACAATCGACTGTTCTGGACAACCCCACAATGTTGCATATTCTTTCTCGAAGAATTTCTTCACCATTTAACCACGGTGGAGGATCTTCCCTTATTGACTTTCCCCGGCTAAACGCTTGAGTATTTCCCCTATAAGGATGATCATCCGGCAAAAACATTTGATGGCAGTCAAACCAACTGTGCTTCCTTCCATTTTGTAACCAAAACGATTTCGTGTCATCTAGACAGTATGGACACGCTAAACGGCCATGTGTCATCCAACCAGACAACATACCATACACCGGAAAGTCACTGATGGTCCACATCAAGGCAGCTCGCATTTTGAATCTTTGCTTTCTTGATATATCATACGCTTCCACACCATTGCTCCATAAACTCTGTAATTCTTCAATCAACGGCTGAAGGTAAATATCAAGACTTTTCTTCGGGTGTTTTGGCCCAGGGACTAGTATCGATAGAAAGAAATATTCCCTTTTCATGCACATACCGGGAGGCAAATTATACGGAGTTACGATCACTGGCCAAACTGAGTGTGCCTCGCCATTCATACCAACAGGATTAAATCCATCTGTTAATAAGCCTAGATAAATATTTCGACTTTCCGCTGCAAAATCAGGATACACCTTATTAAAATGCTTCCATGCTGCTCCATCTGACGGATGATGCATTTCTCCTTTAGGCGAGACATGGTCAGCGTGCCATCGCATATGAGATGCAGTAGCTTCTAATTGGTATAACCGCTTCAATCGCTCCGCCAGTGGCATGTAAAACATTCTTTGCCTAGCTCAATTTTTTCCCCTGCCATTGTTCGGGTGGTATCTGTCTTTACCACAAAATCGACGACATAATAGATCTCGATCTTCCTCTTTCCAAAAAAGCATACAATTGTCCTCACAAACATCAATCTTGTGCACTGGTAGCCCAAGCGCTTTCGTTAGCTTCTTCGACTCATAGTATGATGATGGAGCTGTGTTTGGCTTCGGGAGAACACTCTTCAAAGTCTGTGACATCTCATCTACATATGCCGTTGACATATTGTGATCAGATTTTGATTTCATCATGCGTGAAGCCACATATAACTGAGAAATTCCTTCTACACACCTATCGTAAAGAGGTTGATTGGCGGCTTCAAAAGCTTAAAAAACGCTATCATGATAAGGTTCTTCGTTGGTATTCTCGAATACATCGTCCAATGGCACATCTTCTCCTACGTTCACATTTGCATTTGGATAATGCTCGTATGCATCAGCCGGAACTGATAAATATGTTGCTTGCTCTGCTTCCCCGGTAAAATAACCAGCCGTTCAAGAATCACCAACATCGTAACAACTTTCACCATGGCTCGACCAGACATAGTAATTCCCTTTAAATCCCACTTTAAAGAGATGGCGAGATACAGTCCTTGCATCGCGTTGCTTCCGATTCTTGCACCGAGCACATGGACACAATAAAGTGTTAAGCTCTTGATAAGATGCTTGATTACAAGCAAATGTGAGAAAAATATTTATCCCCTCTATAAACTCTTCTGATACACAATTTTTTTCTGTATCAATATGTCGATCCATCCACTCTCTCGATTGAAAAAAGTGAGACATTTTGGTAAACTTTCTTTATAGAAACAAAAATATTGGAATAAAAGAAAGAGAATATGTAGTGTTTAGATGATAAAATGAACTGAATGATTCAAATGAACGAAAACTAAGTTGTTTATATATAAAATTTTAGCCACGGTCCATTTTCGTGACTATTAGTCGAATATATTCGTTATGCGCCTCTGGTTGATGGGAGTTTGTGGAAGGAAAACCCGTGTTGGGCAATCATTTTGGTTTGTCACGGTTTGTTTCGTGACTAAAACTTGACAATTATGCTACGGAATAGCCACGTATGTCAATTTTTGAATATATTCGCACTGTAGCACCTGTGGTGGATATAGTCACGAAGATAACGTGGATAAACCGTGACAACATTGACACGATTTAGTCACGAATACTGTTCGTGCCTATGTTGACACGAAATATTCGTGGCTTTTTGGTGGCTATCCTTGCCACACCAACTTACGTGACTAAAATGTGACAACTTTGCCATGAAATTGTTACGAAATTGTCACGTTTCTTTCTTTTTCCGCTTACGTGACATTTTCGTGGATTTTTCATGACTTGTTTCAGAAAAGCCACGACACCGTCGTGACTCTGTCGTAGCTATAGCGAGTTTTTTTATTAGTGACGAAGACTAGAGATTGGTTTTGCAAAAAATAAAAACTGTCTTTTACGTAGCAATCGCTAGAGATTGTGTTTCAGAGCTTTCACAGATCAAAAGCATTCACCAAAACCACCAAACTTTTATTTCTGACTAGGCCTTTTACCTTGAATCTCAGCAAAGTCAACACCAAGCACAATTCTAAGATCCAGGGAAAATCCTTTTCCCAATGCCGTCACAAAGAACCAAGGGTTACGGAACACTTAACTTTGTTTGAGAGCTGGTAAGATAGAGCCGGCCTCTGAGATCAGCTATTTTTCTTGTTTACTGATTAGGGGTTCAGAGATCACCTTAACACCACCACCAAATCACATCAATGTAGACTTAACACAAAGCTAGAGACGATAACAACCACCGAAAGCTGCTAGACAGATCTTTAGAGAGAGTAAAAAACCCGATCCTGTAGCAAAATGTTAGAAATTCTTCAACCAAATCTCGAAAGTACACAAACTTCTCGGGCACGTAACCTCGACATGGGTTTATCACCAGATTTCCGATTAACAGTTAAGAGAGAGACCCTTACCCGAACAGCTATAACGATGATTGAAACCTGTCATCAAGATCTATCTTTGAAAGTATGATTGGGTTACAGGTCTGGAATCGCTCTCCTAATCGCCCTAGCCATAGCGCCGCGGTTTTAGACTATATTAGGATTCGTGTTCACGCAGATTTCTAATAAATTATTTTAAAATCCGCTGAAATAAATTAAAAATAAAATAAAAAAATCAATTAAATTTTGTTACATATTTATAATTTTGAGGATAAAATCAATTTTTATCATCTTTTAAATTATAATTTATAAAACATCATAATTAAGTCAATTTTTCTACCCATTAATGTTAAAACAAGCATTGAATTATGTGCTTTTATATTATTCTGAAACAGTATTGGTAGTAAATCGTGAATTATGATAATAAATTATTTAAAAAAACTGTAGGTATTTTAGATTGTTTAACGAAAACACGTCATTCTTAACAGCGTATAGTGAATTTTTTTCCCCACTTTAGTTCAGAATTTAACACCAAGAAGTTGCAGTAAGTACATGTTGTCAAATAATTTATTATTAAATTTGTCCTTAAACATCTTTATTTTAATCTGTAATGGATTCTTTTTTTGTCAACAGCATCAGCTTCTACAGCGGTTCAGAAATCCAAACCACTGGAACTGAATTTACATAATTCAAAGAAAAAAAGTGATCTCGAGCACTTCATGCTAACTTGTCCGCCTTTGTGTTTTAAGCACGTGGGATATGCGAGAACGAGAAGAAACTGAATTCCTTTTTGCTCGCCTCGTATTCCTCCAGGTGTACTTTGAAAGCTGGCCATTCATCTGGACTAGCCACCATATGTACTAGTTCTAAGGAGTCTGTAGCAAAGTTAACCGCATATTTTCCGTTATCCACCATACAATGCATAGCCCATATTATGGCTTCTAACTCCGCATGTAGTGACGAAAGACTACGTCTGACATTCCTCGCTCCTATAAGAGTATCCTCAGATCTGAAGCCCTGGTAGTACCATCTCAGGCCCGAGTAAACGGACAACTATTTCCAAGATCCGTCTATTAAACAAGTTAACCCACCGATATGTGTAGTTACTCTAACCAGATTTGTTCGTTGTGTAGCTTCCCAGTCACCTTCCGTCTGGGCCAATTCCCATGAATTTGCCTCTACGACCGCCAGCTTAACACCTATCTAGGATCCCGGTCAATATTCGAAAAGATCTTATCGTTCCTTGCTTTCCAGATATACCACAATATCCATGGGTAAGTATACATCTCTTCTTGTTGAGGTAGATTCCAAAATAACTACGCCATGTTTGAGTATAATGCATCCGTTGGGAAATGAGTTGGGGGTGTTTGTATCGCCGATAGTGTCCATACTTGAAGATCAAGTGGACATTCAAATAGGATATGATTAATGGTTTCTCTTTCCCTCCACATCTCCCACATTGTGGATTACAATTAATGACTCTGCTTTTAAGGCGATCCATTACCAAGAAACATCCCGAGAAAATCTGTAGCATCCGTATCCGAGGAAATTAGAAATGGTCGAGGCAGACAGGACATTGTTCGAGGAATGATCGAGCCAAGGGTCGTATATTGGCTGGGAACTGGGAGGTTTAGTCTATGGTCGGGTGATGACTAGGAAATAGTCGATGGATGGCTGGGATAGCCGAGCCGGATGGATCATATCCGAGAGAAAATGGTCCAGTCCGTGAAAAAATAGGGTTAGTCAAAGTGAGAGTGGACTGTGTCTGGTGAGAAGGAAAGTCTCCGAGAGAAAATGGAAATTAGTCGAGGTAGTGTGAGTTATCCGGGTGAAAAATGGAAAATGACCAGACAGAAGGGAAATAACTCGGATAAATGCGGTTTATCCGAGAGAAAAGGAAATAGTCGAGGGAAGCTGGGCTGGGCCGTGGGCCAAGTGTGAGTAGGTCGGCTAAAACGCAGTTTATCACGCGGATGGTAGAACTGGTACGGGTTATAGCCAAGAGAATCTAATCGGATCGGGATAAATCCTACTGGAACCGGGAAACGTCGGTTTAGTCCGAGTTACCTAGGGTTTTACGAGTATATAAGGTGTTTTGAGACTTATCTCGGGAGTGTTGCGTTTATTGCGAATAATAAAGCAAGAGAAGAGATTAGTCGAGAGAAAATCCTAGAGAAAACAGTTTATCTCGAGGATAGCCGAGGGAGATTGAAGGTTCGCCGTGCAGATCTGACCATCGCCGAGATAAACTGGTAAGCGATCGGATATCTCCCTTTGTGTCGAGTTTCCATCGGATTACCTCGAGCTAATATACGTGTTTTGTGGGATTTCTGTAGGTAAACAGAGATTGGCTCAAAGAAATGTGAACAGATCGAGAGATAGCCGAGGATAGGGATATCGGATCGTAGTTGTAGCCGAGAGATCTTTAGGGTGATCATATCTTTGTTTCCACGCGAGTTTCATCAGGATTTCTTCTGACCAATCTGTTTCCAACCTTTTCTAAGGTGAGTGCGTGACTGTGGTTAGTATTTAGGATCGCTGGATTGCTAGGGTTTGATGTTTTGCATGTTTGATTGTGTGATTTGCATGTTTGGTGTTAGCGTGTGTTAAATGATTCTATACTATGTTATTGTGAGGTGTTTACCGTGGCATAGAGGATGTCTAGCTAACCTTAGGGTAATCCGGATCATTTACTAGCTTAGGGGATGTGGGATTCTCGCTGAAGTAGACATGGGTCTTAAAAAGGGATTGATCAAGGGTTAGGTTAGATGATCATGGCCGTTTGATATGTGTTATGTTTACTGCAAATTGATTGTGTGGGATGTTGAGTCCGATAGTATGAATGCGTGAATGGTACTGACCAAGGTGTTACGGGATGACCGTACTCACTAAGTATTTATGACAATACTTATTCTTCTCTTGTTTGAGTGTGCAGGATCTAAGCAGTAAGTGGAGCGAGACGGCGGCAGTGATGGACATGGATGGATTGGGGATTAGGTGTTTTCATGTTTAAGACGTGTGTTTTATCTTATGGGCTTTGGTGTTGACCGTTTTAGGTTGTTAGATGATTTGATGTATTCATTAGAGAACTGTTGTGCTTTGTTTATGAGAACCTCGAATCTTGTTTAAGTGTTTTATGCAAGTTATAATGGAATGAAATGAGTTATTTGAATCCGCTGTGTATTGATAAATGCAAAGAAAAAGTTTAAAATTTGGCTAAGTATAGAACGGACTGTTAGGATGTAGTGAAGGCACGGCTGCGGTTTAGTTAGCCAGGTCGGGCTTCCATAGAATCTGACACAAAAAGTGCTTTAACTTTGGCGGACACCTAACTTTCCATGCCTGGCCTTGTAAAGTGCTTACATCCGGTCCATAGGGCCGGCTCTGCTCCCCACTAAATGGGAATTTCTGTTCTGTAGCATATCCTGACTTCACAGTATACTTGCCTGATTTTGTAAAACTCCAACCCAATAAATCCGGTCCGAAAGCCGTTGTTGTAGGCATCACTATGATCAGAGGAATATCCTCTAGATCTACCAATTGTTGAATTAATGGTAAATTCCAAGTTAAGGTTGTTGTGTCAATCAGCTGATTGACTTTTAGCTCATGTAATAATTATACCCTTTGCAAGATGATGATCTTGGGAGTAATGCTGGAATCCAAGGGTCATTCCATACTGATATAGAATTGCCTGAACCAACTCTTTTAATAAGTCTTTTATGTACCAAAGATCAAGCTGAAATAATGCTTCTCCAGCCATACGAAGGAGAGTATGACCTGATAAGGTCTAATGGTGTATCCTTACGAAGTATCTGCCTTCAAAAACCTTTGCAAATAGTGAGGTTTGATGATCCATAAGTCTCCAAAGCTGATTTGCAAGCAGAGCCTTGTTAACATCCTCTATAACCCGAAAACCCATCTCTCCTTCCAACTTATGTCTGCATAGCTGTTTCCAAGCTATCCAATGCATACCCCTTGTTTGTTCGTTAG